ATAGGGAGCTCCACGGAAGGTCCCAGTGGCTGCATTCGTATGGCGGCACCGTGCCCATCTCGGCACACCACTCAAACGTCTTGGCCCTATGGGGAGCTCTAGTGGCTGCGTTCGCATGGCGGGACCGCGCCAGTGTTGGTACACCCCTCATATTTAGTGGGCGCCACTGGCTGCGGTCACATGGCGGCTTCGGGCGGCATCGCACCCGTGTCGGCACACCCCTCACACGTTTCGTGGCCCCCATGAAGGGAGCTCCACCGAGGGGCCCAGTGGCTGCGTTCGCATGGCGGCACCGCGCCAATTTCGGCTCACCCCTCAAGCACTTTGGGGCCCCCATGAAGGGAGCTCCACGGAAGGCCCCAGTGGCTGCGTTCGCATGGCGGCACCGCGCCCGTGTCGGCACACCCCTCACACGTGTCGTGGCCCCTATAACGGGGCCCCCTGCCGAGGAGACTCACCACCTCGTTGCCCACGACCGCACACGGTTGGGTCCTTCGCCGGGATCGCTCCGCGACTCGGGGGGGGGGGCCCTGGGCGAGCGGCCGCCGAGCCGCGAGGCAGGGCGGCACCGCGGAGGCCGCCCCCGCCGCGCGAGCAGCCCCCCCCCTCCAGCCGGGGGAGCTCGGGGCGCGCGCTCCCGGCGGCCCCCCCCGCGGGGCCCGAGGCACCGTGGACGAGTGGCGCGCGAACTTCGGGCCCCAGGCCTCGGGGGGGTCGCCGGCCGTGCCCCGCGCGCTCGGCGGCTGGCCCGGCCGAGCCCGAGGCCCAGGGTCGGTGCATGCCAGCTCCTCCTCCTCCTCCTGCTCCTTCTCCTGCTCCTTCTCTTCTGCCTCCTGCTCTCCTGCTCCTCCTGCTCCCTTCCTCCTCTCCTGCTCCTTCTCCTCCTGCTCCTCCTCCTCCTCCTCCTCCTTCTCCTCCTCCTCCCCTCCTCTCCTCCTCCTCCTCCTCCTCCTCCTCCTCCTCCTCCTCCTCCTCCTCTTCCTCGTCCTCCTCCTCCTCCTCCTCCTCGTCCTCCTCCTCCCCCTCCCCGTGCCCAAGCCCGGGGGGGCGCGCACGCGGGCCAGGCCGGTGCCCACGTCCACTCCGCCTCGGACTCTTTTTTTTCGGACTGCCATCCCACGAAGCAGGTGGCACAGTGGATACGGATGAGATTTTGGCCTCTGGCGAGGCCAGATTTCTGTCCATCTCCACTGCGTCGCGGGCCTTTGGCGTCCCTTGCCCAAAACATCCAAGACGCCGTGGATATGGATATCAGTGCTGCCCACAGTACAGTCGGGGCCCTGAAGAAGGAACCCTTTTCGTTGGGGAGGGGCTCCGCGTTCCTTAAGCGTTTCACAGCTTGCCTCAGGTTTTCCTTATGTTTTCGACAGGAAATCGAAGGTTAACTCATGGAAAAAAAGGGGCCTCGTTCCTTATTTAGGGTTCCTCAGGTCAACGCCCCGACTGTATTCATCGACCCTGGGCCCGGGACGAGCCTGGCCGGGAGCGTCGCAGGTGCACGGCCGGAGTCCTCCTGCGCAGGAGTGGGCGCGGGTGAGCTCGCGAGCCCTGGCCCTGGAGGGCGCCAAGAGGGAGGCGGCCGCACCCGTGCACCCCCCAAATTTGCCCGCCTGCGCCGCTCTCTCTGTGCCGCCTCCGTCGCTCCCCTCCGTGCGTCGTCGGTGTGCTGTTCCGCAGGTGCCCGTCGATAGAGAGCACGCTCGAGAGCACACCGAACTGTGTGTGGTCGCGAGCCTTTCGTTTTCTGAATCGGCGATGTCGCGTCTTGACTGCGGTGCCATCGCGCAGCAGTGCAGTTGCGTGACGACGATCTCGCTCACACCTGGAGAGTTCCACTAGCCCACAAGGCCGCGTGCAGCTGTGGCCATGCAGCCACAACGCGGCGTGCTTCAGGGTTCAACGCAGCGCGATTTGATGCCACAACCATTGTTCTGTTAGGATTTGGAAGGGTCTTGGCCAATCGGGGGCATCTTTCGGAGGAACTGTAGCCATCCAGAGCCGTCTTGGAGGGGTCTCGGGGCCTCTTGAAGGCATCGTGGAGGCATCGTCGAGGCCATCTTGAACCATCCTGAGCTGTCTTGTGTCATCTTGGAGGCCATCTTGGACTTTCTCGGGCCATCTTGGAGCCATCTTGGGGCAAAAAGGACCCTCCGACACCTCGGGCCCGTCCCCGTCCAGACCCAGAGGCAGGGGAGGTTTCAAGTTCACGGCGGGCACGCCGCGAGCTGTTTCGCTCACTCCCACCCGCCCTCCCACTACCCATCGGTCGTTGGAAGTAGGTATTGTGGGATTCCCAGATTCCAACCTACCTTGAGCGCCTTCCTTCCTCAATGATCGAGTGGTTTCCCCTCTTCCCTCCTCTGCAGGGGGCGGGCGGAGGCCCAGTCTGCTTTCAACGCCTTCCTGCTTCATATTCCTACCTACTTCTTACGACCGATGGGTACATACGTACCACCCCGTTCTCAGCATAGGCAGTGGCCACCATCGACAGCAGTCGAGCACCAAGGCAGACGCCGGCCGAGGTGCGCGGCGGCCGCGCGGTGGGCCGCGCGCGCCAGGTGCGCCGCGCGCACCGGGTGCCCCAGGGGCCCCAGCGTGCCAGGCGCCCCCGGTGCGCCAGGTGCGCCACGTGCTCCACATGCGCTCTGAAGGTGCCACCGCCTGGCGCGCAGGTGCGCCAGGTGTCCCAGCGCAGGGCGCAGCACTCCTCGGGCGATGGGCCTGACCCCCCCACGATCCCCGCCAAAAGCTAATGCAGAGTGACGGCGGGGTTGCCAGCATTGCGTTTTGTGTTTTGCGTGTGTGTCGCCGCAATCACTTGACTCTTGCTATGGACAGGGACTGTGGGCCTGCGCGTCGCGGGTAATCTGATAGCACCCCCGCCGTCCGTGGCAACAGCCAATGCAAAGTGATCGTGGGGCGCCCGAACACGATTTGAATTTTGCTGCAAAGTGTTTTTTGTATAGTTTTTGTAGCGGGGATGTCGAGCTGGGGTGGGGTGGCGCGGCATTGTTCCTGGTCGGTCGCCGTTCGAATTGGGGAGTTGGTGTTTGATAGTAAGGACTGGTGTTAAGCCCCTCCCCGAAGGGGAACAAGGGAGTTGCAAGAAGAAGCCTTATAGGCCACCTCCGCCCAGAGGGCTGGTGGGATTCAGGAGACATGAGCCTCTGATCGACTTGGGTTGCTACAAGCCAGCTTTAAGTCGGGCCTGTCCCTCTACAGGAGGAATTTTCAAGAATAGTCACACAATAGTTTGGGGACTATTTTTCCGTTCTTTTTTGACCATTTCGGAGTATTTGTAGACAATTTTTTAAATTTTTTCCTCCAAAATCCCCCTGTAGGGTGACAGGCCCGACTCAAAGCCGGCTGCAGGAGCACGCTCCTTCAGAGCTGCACACCAGTAGTCGCAGCACGTGAGCACGAGCCTCACCATGTTTTGTTTTTTCTCCAAATAGGCTTGCCCTACAGGAGTCCCAGCTCAAAGCCTACTAATTGCTCCGTTGCCCCCCTAATTCCTATGCCCCCCATAATTCCTATGGCTGTGCCTATGCCTATGCCTCCCCCCTAACTCCTATGCCTACACCTATGCCTATGCGTATGCCTGCTTGCTTGTTTGCTTGCTTGCTTGCTTGCGCGCTTGCGCGCTTGCACGCTTGCTTGCGCACTTGCACGCTTGCTTGCTTGCTAGCTTGCACGCTTGCTTGCTTGCTGAGGTGCGGATTCCAAGCATGCTGGATTCCTCGGATTCCTTGATCTGAGTCGTCTAATATATCTGGAGTCAACGCTGGTTGGTATTGTCCTTTGTTCCCCCTCTCTGCCTGGTCGCGCTCTCGATTCCAATAGCGGTGGGGGGATTGTCGGGCAGGCAAGGCAATGCGTCCTAACGGCCAGATCAGGTGGCATTTACCTTGGCATGGTGCGCTCGTCCTTCCCTTGTTCATGTTTCCTCGCTGCCGCTTTCCCAAGCTCTTCGCCGCCGTCCCACCCCCCACGTCTCCACCAACGCGCCTGGAATATTCCCTGCGCAGCGAATGCCGTATAGGTTCACCATAATGATACACAAAGTACTCCCGCTAAGGCAGCGGGCGACTCTCTTGAACGCGGGGAGCCAGGCGCAACCTATGGCGCAAACTATGGCTGAATTGGGCACTCGCTGAGGCAATTGTCGAATTGGTGTGACGCGGGCTGCCCAGCGCATCCTACATCGAAGCCTATGGTGCAGGGTATGGCGCGATGGTGCACTCACTGAGGCAACGTACGACTTGGTTGGCCGCTGGGTGTCTTACGCAACCTATTGCGAATTGAGCGGTGCTATGGTACATCCACTGTGGCAACGGATGGATCGGTTGAGCTCGGAGAGTCTGGCACATACAGTGGCGCCCAGGTGCACTCACCAAGGCAACTGACGTCTTTCATGAACGCGGGGTACCTGACGCGAGCTATGACGCCACCCCTTGCGCAGGCTATGACGCAATGGTGAACTCAGGGTGTCCTTCGCAAGCCAGCGTAGCCCATGTCGCAATCTGTCTAGTTGTTATTCCGCGCGAGCTCTTCACCGCTCCCAGGCAGACACCAGGGAAGGGGTGGGATTGGGAGGAAGCATGGAAGCGCCCAGGGGGTAGGTGCCACGGAGGTTCCTACCTGACCGTTTTCATTTATGTTTGGCATCGAGAGACCTTTTTGGGGAATCAGGGGCGCCCTTAGCTCTTGACCCGCAAGAAGGCAAACGATCAACACACAGTAAGGGCTCGGCATGCACCAGCCGCTGCGATCGCGGTGGCGAGTAGGATGCATGTAGGGAAGGCGGGCGATTCGGCTGAGTGCGGAGTTCTGGCGCAACCTTTTGGTCGCAGCCTATGGTGCAACCGGTGGCCAGTTTTGTTTAGGGCTCGTGGTGGGGCCGAACTTCACTATGCAGGCGGCCATTACCTGAAGAGCCACATTCTTTCGCCACGTTTTCGTCACTCTGCCCTGCTACTCTCGAGGTCCTACGAGACCGCGAACTTGATCGGACATTATACCTGGCAGCTCGTAATTGCGGAAACGGCCACTCATCCACGTCTGGCCGTGCAGGGGCACGTGCGATCCGTTCAGATTGGCTTAGGCTCGTGCATCAGATGTATACTGAAGTGACGTAGACGAGGATTTTTTTCCACGGATTGGTTCGCGTTCTGGCATAGTTGTGCTGTGATATCATTGTGTTTTGAGGCGCGTGTGCTGGAACGAGCGAGCCGCGACCTGCAACATGACTCTAGTAACGGTTTCGCATAGGAGTTTAGGATAAGGAGCGTACGGGCATATTGCCATATTCATTAGTCAGTGGAGTTGTTCTGAGCTGGGTGATACTTGACGATGTGCAGTGTGGTCGAACGAATAGGGTGCTGCGCCTGGGTGAACCACGCTCTGTGCCTGTGCGTCGAATTCGCTCTCTGCAGCACTTGCGCCAGCCAGCTACCAATGCTGTTGGTTGCTCGCTCCTCTTACTTCTCGTCGTTCTCTTCGTCTTCTCCGGAAGGCGGCACATAAGGCCGAAAAGGCGCGCGAGTCGCGGAGCCTCTCCCAGATCACCTACGAGAACGAGACCAAGGACAACGCAACCACAGCGTTTCTCTTCGCCGCGGTGAAATGCTGTCTGATATGATCTAAATGCTCTGCTGTTGTGATTGTTGCGTGGAGGATGCCTGCGCACACGGGCTCAGCGATACTTCAACAAAGGAAGTCTTAGATCATTTCCCCATCAGCTGGAGCTGTGGCTTCTTTGTCGGTGGCTCGGAGAGGAGATGGTGGTGGTGTGGACAGTTTTTTTGATCGACGCTGCCCTTGCATCCTTGCCTTTTCGACCCATCCTTGGCCATGGTTCCTGGAGTTGGCCTGACGCCGCTGCAATTTTTCCCCCACGTGGGCGTCCACAGGTCCTTTCATCCTCACCCTGCATCCGCACGATGGGTTCTTGGCACGGGTCCCAAGGCCGACGCGAGCGCCCGACACGGCGGGCGCCCCCGGGCCGTGCTCCCGTTGCGCCGCGCTGCCGGTGATGCTGGTGCGCGGGTGCCGAGCAGGCTGGGGCCCAGCAGGGGCCAGCGGCGACGGTCGCAGGGGCTCGCGACCTGCGTCGGGAGCCGGCGCTCGCGCCTCGGAGGGTCGAGCAGGGCCTGGCGGGGGCGGCTGGGGGCACACGCCGGCACTCTGGCGCCGCAGGGGTCCAGAGTGCGGCCAGCGCGGGGCCAGCGGGGCGCCGGCTCGGCCAGTCAGAGGGCTGGCAGGGGCTCGCGTGGGGCTCGTGGCGGGAACGGGGAGGGGCTCCAGACGGCGCTGCGGCCAACGCGCCTAGTCAGGACGCGCGCCGTCGTCCGGGGTGCCCTGTTGTCCTTGCCTCTGCGGCCCGGCCTTTGCTGTTTTCACCCTTTTCACAGGTCGCCCGTCCCCCCCAAGTCCCAACTTCGGCCTCCAAGGGTCTCGCGTCCATGCCACCCGTCCTTCGTACACGTTTTGACTGCAGTGTGGCTCGCCGAGAGGCTTGCACGGGCCACGGCCAGGGACACGAAGAGGCACGGGCACCCACAGAGAGCGAGCGCGACGCGGCAGAGAGAGTGGGTCGGGCAGTGGGGGCTGGTGGCAGACACGGAGTCGGCACGGGCCACGCAACGGATCAGCGGGGGTATCAGAAGGCTGGCAGGGGTGGCGCATGATGGGAGCGGGCTTCAGCACCCAAAAGACATAGGCGCTGCTGTTGTTCTTAGGCCGTTCAGAAAGCCTGCAGGGCTGGTTGCGGGCTGCTGCCAGGGACTGGCTTTGCTGCCAGTGAGGGCTAGCCGGGGCAAGTCAGATCGTTGACAGGAGCTTGTAGGGGCTAGTTAGCGACGGGAATGGGCATCGGCGCCGAAGAGGGCCAGTGGGCTAGTCAGATAGCTGGTGGGGAATGCGAGGGGCTAGTGACGGAAGAGCAGTGGGACCAAAGAGGTGTCGTAAGGTTCTTCAAGAGGGAAGCAGGGGCTAGCCAGGACCAGTGGCGGGAACGAACAGGGTGTCAAATCGGGCAGGCGCTAGCAGGGGCTTTTGACAGGGATCTTGACCCCAGAAGGTGGCTATGAGACGTGCCAGAGAGCTAGACCTAGTCGGGGCTAGTGGCAGAAACGGGCGTTGGTACCAAACAAGGTGTGGTGGAGCTAGTCAGATAGCCAGCGCGGGCTAGTGGGACCATACATGGAAATGGGCGCTATAGGGGCTAGTCAAAGGGCTAGCAGGAACCGCAGGTACTGGTGACGGGAACAGGTCTTGCGGCACAATGTGTGCGGCTAGTGAGGTTAGTCTGACGGCAAGCATGTTCTAATAGGGGCTACTTGCGAGAATTAGCATAGGTCCCAAACAAGGCTATTTGGGCTAGCCAGAGAGCCCGCATGGGGCTAGTAAGGGCTGGTGTCAGGAAAGGACGTGAGAGCCCCAGGGAGCTAACGGGGCTAGCGTCGCTGCTGCGGGATCGGCCATTGGTGCCCAAGGAGGTTGGCGATGTTTGTCCGGGGGCTTTCAGGTTCTAGCAGGGGCTGCTGGTGGGAACAGGTACTGTCACCAAAGATGGCTAGATGGGGCTCGCAGGTTCCAGCGACGGGAGCAGACCTTCCCCGCCAAAGAGGGCACACGGGGCGCTCAGTGCGCTGGGCTGGGCTCGGGCCGGTGGCGCGATGCCGGGGCTGCCTCTGCGACTGCCTCTCCCCCCGCCCGCAAAAGTCCCGGGGAGGGCGGGGCCCGAAGGGGAGCGTTTGCCTATGCAGCGCTCTCCCTGGTCCCTTCCTTTTGCCCTGGAGTCCCCGGTCGTCCGCCTGCTCTGCCGACTCGGCCGCCAGCGTCTGGCGCACTGCAAGCGTCCTGGCCGGCGCCTCCCCGACGAGTCGACATGCAGGGCTCCACGCTGGGCCCGAGGACCGACGCTGCGCGGAGATGAGAGTTCAGTTGTGGAGTGTCACTTTCGTCCCGTTTCGCATTGATTGATCGATCACTGGGCCGTGCAGCTGCGCGGCGCCACGGCGCCAACTTGCCGGGCCCCCGCCGGCCCTCCTATGGCAAGTCCGATGCTCCGATGCTCCGAGAGGGCTGCGGGCCCATGGCGTAGCGATGTCTCATCACGTCGGGAGCCAGTGTGTCGTCGGCATCAAAGATCTGCTCCGCGCGGGCAGTGCGACGGGGGGCTGGCCGCTCTGATTTGACACGCCCGTTTCGGTTCCCTGCAGAGGATCTGGAGAAGGCCAGACGAGCAGCCAATCATGTGGGCTGGTGCGTTCCAAACTAGTGTGGTAGTCGGAGGAGGGAAGCAGTTCTTGGAGAAGGTGGTGTTGAAGGGCATGTGGAGTCGTCGGAGAGAGTGTACGTCCATAGGGACCAAGAGAATGTTGTGGCGACGTGGTCGTATATGATCGCGGAGATGGCTATGCGAAGACAGTGCCCCCTTGCCGCTGACTGTTGATAAAAAGTACGCCCTCACATGCAATGGCAATGATGGCGCATGCTGCGATCACGAGGGCGACACCGATGATGCACTCGATTTCGATCAAGGTTCAAACGAATAAGTTTATGGCAACTGAGGGTGCAGATGACCATGACGGTCACTATGGTGGTGACGCTGGTGCCAATGACAATGGTGGTAGCGATGGTGGATGCATAATCGGTATCTCCAGTGGAGGCATGTTCGCGAAATTCGATGAGCATATTCACTGCTGTCATGGCTCGCAGAAGGCAGGGCAACACATTTTTGCGTCTACTGTCTGATTTGTATCGCGATCGGCCCATCGTTCCCGTGATCATAAAGTTCGCACCTCTCGGTGCCCACTTGGGTGTCCCTGGGGCCGCCAGGGGCCGTCGGCAGCGCTGAAAGGGGAGCACGTTTCCCCCCCCCCCCCCCCCGTTGGGCTCTTGCTTCGAGTAGCGCAACGCGGTCTCCAGCCTTCCCCCTCCCGCCTCCCTCCTGCTCTCTCCTCCTCTCTTCCTCTCTACTTCCTACCTGCCTCCTATCTCGCCCTGCCTGGGGAGTTGCGAAGTGGGAAGCCGCCGCCTCCTTTCGAGGGCTGCGGGGGTGCCGCGAAGTGTGAGGCCGTTGCCACTCTCGTGGGCTACTGGGTGCTCCTGCCATCCCTCTCGCGAGTAGCCGTCGTGCAGATTCTTCCCCGAATAGAGTGCGGGCTGCTGCTCTCTCTCGGCATTGGCGTCGGTGCCACGCTGGTTCTGTTGTGGGTGTCGTGGTGCTGCGCATGCAGAATCTGTGCAACGTAACGAGGTGGAAGTAGTCGACGGTCCTGCAAGAAACCTGTAGGAAAGGATGTCAAACAGAGAATGTAAATGAGATGGGCCAGGGATGTGGTAGTGGAACTGGTTCTGGTACGCGGGCTCCCACCTGAGGGCGTGCGGGCACCGCCCTGGCTGCCGCCCACATCCTTCGGGCAGGCGGCTTTCTCCTCCCTCCTCCTTCTCTTCCTCCTTCTCCTCCTCCTCCTCCTCCTCCCTCTCCTCCTCCTCCTCCTCCTCCTCCTCCTCCTCCTCCTCCTCCTCCTCCTCCTCCTTCTCCTCCTCCTCCTCCTCCCTCCCCTCCTCCCCTTCTTCTTCCCCATATCCTTCCCGTCCTCCCTCTCCCTGTGCTTCTCCTCATTCTCCTCCTTCCTCTCCTCCTCCTCGTTCCTCCCCTCCCTCCCCTTCTCCTTTCCGTCCTTCTTCGCGTCCTCCTCCTTATGTTCCTTCTCCTTCTCCTCTTCATCCTCCTCGTCCTTCGCCTTCCTCTCCTCCTCCTCCTCCTCCTCCTCCTTCTCCTCCATCGCCTCCATCTCCTCCTCTTATTCATAGCAGTTTGCAGATTTCGAGCTGTTCAGCTAAACGTGGGACCAGCGCGTTTGGAAGCGGTGCAGCTGGCTCGAGCCAGTCTCACGCAATCGTTCGAAGCAGTTGCATGACACGCAATGCGGCGCCGTGGCAGCAGGGGCAGGGGACAGGGCCAGACCAAGCCTCGGACCTGTCGGGGCCCGTGCTGCGGCTCCCCCAACTTCCTGTGAAGAGCCAGCCGTCGGGAGTGTGGGAGCAGTGCGCCGCAGCGCATCGTCAGTCCAGGGAGGCAGCACCAGGGGACCGGAGCACGGAAGTAACGTCTCAACCTTTGGCTCAATGGCCCCCCCAGCTGGTCTCGAGACTCAGGCAATACATGGCAGGATGGAGGTGCAGTTAGTACCATGTCTCGTGTTGTACTTGTCAAGATTCTGCAGGACAAGGGCCTCGAGTCAGGCTCCCCCCTGAGAAGCAGCTGCAGGACCCCCTCAAGAAGTCTGAGGAATCAGGCCCCGTGGCAGCCGACCTCTGTAAGAAAGGGCTTCATGACCTCCCCCATAGAATAGGAAAGCAACTCAAGCTGATCGAGTCATCGGAGAAGCAGGTCAAAGATGCCAAGGAGGCGCTGCAGGAGGCGCAGCGGCTCCACGATCAGGAAATTGATCTTGATCAACATCATATCCAACAGGATCACCTCATGCATACCGAAATGTATATCAGGGAGGGTCAAGCAGCATCCTTGCTGCTAGAGCTGCCCAGCATCGATGAGGAAATCTACCTAAGATGCAGGACATCCTGGACAAGGCTCTGCGCAATTACGCAGGCAGGCTTGGACTGGAGGCGACGCCTGTCAGCCAGGACGCAGAGCGCAGGCAAAAACAGTTCCAGGACAAAGTGTCTTAGCCGAAGGAACCACCATGGAGGATTCTAGGAGTATTGAGGCCGCTGTAATATCTGTTCCTGGGGACTCTTCTCAGGTCATCGACCTGGGCCCAGACGATGCAGACTTCAAGGAGAAGCTCAAGAAAATGAGGGATTGCAGCAGCTGGTGGTTCCGAGTGGCTCGAGCGATTCCTGGATGACATCGGCATCCGCGCCAAGAGGCAGAATTGGATTCACGGTGTGACCCATCAAACCATCAACATGGACACCAGCTCAGATTCTCATGACATGGGCTAGGTATGATCAGGACGTTCACAATTCAAATGGGATGTCGGACGCTTCAGCAGCTGCAGCACCAGAAGGCATTCCTCCTGACGTCTTCTGCCTTCCGGGGCATCTAAGTAAGGATGCGATTGGGTGCCAGCGTGCCAAGACAGGGGCGAAACAGCGGGGGCTTCATACTTCCACGCCGCTTGCGGAGATCACAGGTCCAGGGACATCGGATTCGAGTGCAGGCTGTGCAGTGATGATTGCGCATCCTGCGGGCGCGGTTGACCGAAGTGATGTTGATGAGCTACCTAGGTCGGGGATGCCAGCCACAAGGATTCACATTTGGCTGCCGCTGCCAGTGGCCATCATATGAGTGTGTTCGCACGCCAACATAGGTTTTGCGTGTGAAAGAAGTAAGTCTCGGAGAAAGATTCTTGAAGACAGAGGGCAAGCTTCAGTTCGTGGATGACCAGATCAGGTTGGACTTTGGTGCCAGATGTATGCAGCAGTGGGCTTGTGAGACGCAGTCAGATATCATTTCCACATGGCAGCTGACGTTCGATGCGACGGAGTTTTTCTGTTCATTTGTCGCAGGGTGCTTTCGCCAGTTGTCTCGCCCATCTCGATCCTTCCAGCTGCGCTGGCGAGGTCGCGCTCGCCAGCGGCCACTCTGTTCAGGGCTCTCGAAGGGTCGGGCGTGCCCGAACCCACGCGGCCCCGCAAGTTCACCGTCGACCAACTCCCACCGTTCAGGCCAGCGCCGCGGGAAGTTGATGATCCTAATGGGCAGTGGAAGGCGGGGGCTGAGCTACCGAAGGAACTGGCTCATGCCTGTCGGATCTGGTTCAAGCGCGCGGGTGTCTTCCTCTTGGAGTTGCGCTGGCTTCCAACGTGGCGCCGCGAGGCGTTCGCGGGCGAGGCGGGCCGTCTCGGGGGGCAGTTGGTGGATGTCGATCAGGCCAGGAGGGGCGACCTCGGGCAGATCTCATCCGTTGGCGGCAGGACGTGGGCATCCTTTAATTCAGCGCGCATGAAGCCTCATTCCACATGTTCCGAAGCTCTGGTCGAAGTCTTCGCCAAGCTGGCAGCGCAGCGCAGGCAGGGGCAGGCTGTGACCTGGATGGGGTTGCCAGACTGGCAGACCGGCCATGGGTTGAGTCCTTGGCTGAAGGCGCCCCGTGCTGATTTGATTGAACAGATGGCGCGTGGTGGTGCAGGGGCTCTCCACTTCCTCCTTGCGTTGCGAGCTTTCCTCCGCCCCCCTCCAGTTTAAGGGCGGAGGTGCCCGGCGAGTGGCTTTGACATGCAGCGGTTGCCTGTCTTGAGGGGGGCTGACAAACGCCAGCCGTTGCCAGTTGCAGGCCGGCCTGCGATCGAAAGTTTTTTGGGGCGCTCAGAGAGGGCCTTTTCGGGGCCCCCGAAGCGAGCTGGAGTTCGCCCCAGGGGCCAGGGTCCTGGGGTCCGTCCTCTCGGGCAGTCCCATGTCACTATTTCATCGGGGGCCCATGGGTTTTCGGCCTCTGGGGGTCTGGATCCCTGGGCGGTGCTGCTCGGGACTTCCATTCAGCAATTTAATGAAGTGTGAGTCTCGCGCTCGGGCTTGCGCGGGGACGACGGGGGCCGCTTGCGTCCCAGTCGCGTGTTCTGCTTTGCCAGAATCGTGCCGGCCGGAGTTTCTAGGCATTCTGACGCGTTGGGAGGAGCTGGGGCATTTCGCTTTCCTGATCGTACTTTTGAGTAAGCTGGCCCCGGCATCGGGGGTCAGGCCTGTTATGCTGGATTCAGTCGGGGGGGGGATCTGGTCTCGACTCGAGCAGCCAGTGGCAAGGAGCTGGTCGCTCTCCCTGGGCAAATTGTGCGTTCCGGGCGAGTTCCGGTTTCGCTTGCGATCGAGCGGGGGGAACGTGCGTGGGGTCGCAGGATTCAATGGCTTCGCAGCCATCGGCGGGATTCTGGACACGTCCCAATTGTACGAACATCGCTCGCGCACGGACCCTTGACAAGAGGCCCCAGCCACTAAATTTCCAGTCCGATTCCTCATTTCTTTGCGCGGGGTGCAGACTGCCGCGCAGGGCCATGTGGGAGTATGACATCCCTGATGTTGTTTGGGCTGACGGCGCGGTGGCGGCGGAGCGCAGCTGCGCGCTGGTCCTCGCCAGAATTTTGGTTCACTCTGTCATGGCGTCTTTGCAGCTTGCGTTTCTTCGGGTCAGGTTTCAAAGCGTGGCGTGTGCTTCTCTCTTGCAGGCTAGAGGGGGCTCTAAGTGAATGCTTGAACAGTTTTCTCTGGCCATGGCTGAACTGGCGCAATATTGTCAACGGCGGCCGCTCGCTGTCATTTGGGGCAATGCAAAATGAATGACCAGCTCGCCAGCTTTAGATGAGCATCTCTACCAACAATTGACCTCGCTAGGGAGCGGTGTTTGAGTGGCGTCGGATGTTCTTAGCGGGCGCCAGCAGCGTAGGTGCCCGCAACCAAAGAAGCAGGCCATAGAAATCAACAGTGGTCCAGGAGCGAGCTTTTTCTCCATGGCAAGCAGGAGCTAGCGTCGACGCGATGAGGATGGTGCCCCCCCACGGCGACGGTGATCAGGGGTCTGCGGTCACGGGCTTTGGGCCTTCGCCCCAGGACTACGCCCTCGGGGCCGCCAGAGATCCTCCGGGTAGTTCGTGTCAGTGACGCCATTGAGAATTGGGTGGGCAGCGTGCAGTCCAGCATGCAGGACATGGTCCGCTCCGGGGCGGCCCCCAGGAGGCCAGATGCCTTCTGGTGCGGGCAAGACCTTGGGGGCAGATTGTGGGCTCAGCGCGGGCGGCGGTCCTCTCGCTCGCCAGGACAGGTTGCGCCTTTCCGGGGTGGGCATCCTCGGGTATCTTCGGGCATATTTGGTTCGGTGGCCTCGGGATTTGCGATTTTCATTTGTTTTATGTTGAAGACATGGTCAGAGATGTTGCGTGGCAGGCCTCGGGTGTCAGGTCTCTGTCGCGCCTCGAGGTGGTCGGCCCCCCCCCCCCGCTGCGTTCTTGGCCGATGGGCAAGCCCTTGGGTCCGGATTTTCTGGGGCGCTGGTCGCGGCATTCGGCTGCTGCCGGGGGGGGGGGGGCTTTGTAGGGCGGTCTCGTTGGCTTCGGCTTCGGCCGTTTGAGAACCGAACGGCAAGTCGCGATCTGTGCGGTCACTGTGGCGCGAGAGGCGCGCTCTGGCACAGGTGTTGAGATTGCCCTCGTGCGTTGCCTTCCGGGGAGGAGAATGCCCCGGGCGCGCCGGACGTGCGGCCATTTTGTCTGGCGCCATGGCGAGGAGCAGGCGCGCTATTTGTCGCGGTCTTGTTCCCGCCAGGGGCTTGGCCGCGCAGGGCGGCCAGTCGCCCGGATTGATGGCGCGTGTCAGTTGGTCGGCGCCGCGCGCGGCGTCTTTCCCTCCGTGCCGCCCCGGGACAGGCGGCCCATGATTGGGGGGCTGGGTCTTTCAAGTGCTGGCGCAGATTCGTGAGTGGTCGAATGGGAATCCGTTCGTCGTGCGTGCCGACTGCGAAGTTCTTTCGGGTGGGCGCAGAACTCGAGCGTGGCTCTTGGAATCGGCAGCCCGCGGCGCGAGCGGTGGCCCGGCGTGGGCAGGCATGCTGGGGTGGTCATAGTTGCCGCGCGCAGGGGACCTGGCATGGGCCGCGTTTGATCAGGGGGGAATGGCTCAACAGGGGCAACGCGATGGCTGGCAAAATGGCCCAGCGCGGAGCCAAACTCTGGGATGTCTCTGGGCATCTTCCGGATTTTGCGTCAGGCTGTGACAGGATGGTCTTGTGGGCGCCATGACAATGGGCCCTCTGGCCGTCTTACCATTCTTGGCTATTGTTTTTCTAATCGCGTTCCAGACCTCAGCCCTGAGCGTTCAGCGATCCCTGGGCGCGCGCCGCCCCTCCTGGGGAAGTCCTATGGGGGGGTCCTCTTGGGGGGTCCTGTGGGGAGTTCTATGGGCGAATCCTGTGGGGGGCCCCGTGGGCAAATCTTGTGGGGGAGTCCTATGGGGGAGTGCTATCGGGATATCCAAGTCTTCCGGAAGTGCCCTCTTGGGGAGTCCTATGGGGGAGTCTTATTTGGGCAGTCCTCTGGGGGAGCGCCATGGGGGAGTCCTGCAGGGGAGTCTTGTAAAAGGGGTCCTATTGACGAGTCCTACGGGGGAGTCCTATAGGGGAGCAAACTTGGGGAGGACTCCCTATGGGGAAGTCCCATGGGGGATTCCTTTGGGGAAGTTAAATTGTGGAAGGGGCCGTGGAGGGGAACCTGCGGGGTGTCCCGCGTTCGGCGGGAGGCCCTAGAAATGTCCGGGCAATATGTTTTCGATGCGTTCTCGCAAGGTGCCCGAGACATTTTGAAACGAACAGGTCTCACATGTTACATATGGATTTAAACATGAATCGTCGACGTTTTTAACGAGTGGTGAGTTAATGCGCAACAAATGAAAGATGTCCAGCCCGAAAACATTGAAGCACATGGTGTACACAAAACGTTTCAAACATCTCGGCCGCCCGCGGTGGTGCCCCCGAAATGTCCAGATGATTATATATATATATGTGTATATATGTATGTGTATATATATATGTATGTATGTATGTGTATATATATGTGTGTGTGTGTGTGTGTGTGTGTATGTGTAACGTCTTTGCGCTGGGGGGGGTCGTCAGCGCGCGCCCCCCCGGTCGCGCTTCCTCCGGGAAGCCGGTCCGGCGGTCCCCCCGCGGGCGCGCTTCCGCCGGGCGGCCGTTCTGGCGCCCCCTCCGGGCGGGCGCGTTCCCGCCGGGCGGCCGGTCCGGCTTTCCCCTGGAGGACGCCTGGCGGGGGCCGCCCTTATGGGACCCCGCGCGCGGCCCCCCGGGGGAATTCTGCCCAGGGGGGGGGGAGTCCGGGGCGCGCTCCTTTTCGCGCGCGGCCAGCCTGGCCTGCGCCGTTCCGCTCCGCGCTGCCAGGGTCCATCGGCAAGATGTGAGCCGCGAGCCCCTCTTGTGTGCTCTTTGGACTCCCCCATAGGATTCCCCCGTGCCAGAAGACATGTTGCCAGCGTCCTGGCGCGGCGGCCGCCTCTCATCTTGTGCAATACAGTATGAGATGCAATCTTACAGCGCGTAACTTTCTCGCGACATTAAAGCGTATTCGCAACGAAAAGACATTGTTCGTCAGCGAAGCACATGCCGATTTCGAACTTAATGCTGTGTGCACGTTCGATGAATTCAAACATCTAGTTCGGGACAAAGTAAAAAGCCCAGCTGGCAACTATTTGGGCAACGTGTCTCAACTCCATTGATCGTCTTCCACATGGATAGTCGCTGATGTAGTTCGATGGCAGAGTAGATGTCATGATTTGGTTGTTGCGAGTTCGAACAGCTTGACTCAGAGGGGCTCGTGGGTACTGGCCATGTTCTCTTAGATCTGGAGTTGCCCTCTGAATTCATCTAGATATGCCTGAAGTCAAGGAAGGCGCTGTTTGGGGACTTGTCCTTGGCTGAAGCGCGTCGGATTCGTGTCTCCTCGGCGCCCCCGCCCCTTTCTGGCCCGTCGGAGCCTCCTGATGAGGACGTGAGTTTTTAAGTAGTTTTGTGAGTTCCCTGGGCCATCAGGGGCCACTCTCTTGTTTGGGCGTCTGTGCATGTCCTTGGCCAGGGGGTCCCAGATTTCCTCTTCTGCAGAGATTGGGTGGCCTCAGTGCGCAAATCGGCCAGAGGCCTAAAATGGAGCTTCGAGGGATCGACGCACCCAAGGCTGAAGGCTCAGCGCTTTCGGCTGCAGCAGAGCTTGCTTCCTGGACACATTCAGGGAGATGCGACGATCGGCTTGGCTTCGGGCCGCCATTGCAGATGAGAGCTGCTTGGGGATTTTGCTTGAGCCTGCCACTGCTGGTGCCGCTGCTGGGTCCCTAGACACCGAGGCTCACACAGGGTGCAAAGGTCGGCCGAGGTCTTGACGCCAGCGGGAAGTGTGATCCCCGCGCCTAGGGATGAGGGATAGCAGGCAGGCGGACGCCTGCTTCGCCTCTTCAGCCTTGACGCTACCAGTGTCGCCCTTTTGTATGGTTTTGCCTCGCCCGATGAGCTTGTCAGATGGGAGCGTTCCTGTCGGAAGGATCGGGGGGAGGATTTGCAGCTTCACGAGTGCGGTTGAGCTGATGCAGCAGCCGCGGTGCAAGGGGCACCCTGTCGTGCCCGCGCTGTCGGCACCGTCGGTGCCCTTCTCCAGCTCATCCCCCTCTTTCTCCTGTTCCACCTCTCCCTCCCCTTTCCTCCCTCCTCCTCCTCTGCTGCCTTCCCCCTTCTTATGCTCCTCCTCCTCCTCCTCCTCCTCCTCCTCCTCCCTCCTCCTCCTCCTCCTCCTCCTCCTCCTCCTCCTCCTCCTCCCTTCTCCTCCTCCTCCTCCTCCTCCTCCTCCTCCTCCTCCTCCTCCTCCTCCTCCTCCCTCGCGCCCCCCCTTTCACCAGAAACGGCTCCCGCCCCCGCCGCAGGTGGACATGCTCATGCCGCTCAGGCACCGCCAGGCCGCAGCCGCCCCGGCACGCCCGGCCGCCAGGCAGCAGGACTGCCTCCGCCGCGGGGCCAGCGCTGTGGGTCGGGTTCGGGTCCCAGACATGATCGCGTCTCGCAGGCCTAGAGGTTGACACCAACACCAATATCGGCGGTGTGCCTCCACCGAGGGAAGAAGATTCCGATCTCGGTGATGGTGGCAATATTCTGGCTTCCAAGGTGGCCGAAATATTTTGGCCACCAACACGGAAATCTAGGATCATCTTCCCCCTGTTGAGGCAACCCCCTGTGCTGGTGTTGGTGCCAATGTCCAGGCCTCCAAGCGTCGTGGAAAAATCAGGACGGCAGGTTTTTGGCCGTTTTCGGCCTCGGGGGGCCTCGCCAGGCCCCGGGACCGTCAACAGAGACGACTCAGGAGGAAAAACAGGTACCCTGGGGAAAGGGTCGGGACTTCCAGGGGCCCCGCACTGAAAAAGTCAGGACGTCGCATGTCTGGGAACTTCGGGGTCGCGTGTCGTTCCGCCGGTTCTGGCCCACGCTTCGGCGCGGCACGCCATCCACTTGCCAAGTCCGAGGCGTCAACGTCCCGAGCGTCTCCCCGCCTCCCGCCCGGCGGAGCGGAGCGACGCGCTGTCCGCTTGCACGGCATAGCGTGTCGCTGGGGCTGCCGCCGCGACATGCACATGCCATGCAACAAGATCCTGACCGTATGGTCCGGGGGGGGGGCGAAGTTTCGATGTTCCAGGTTTTCGGCAGTCTTCGTTGGTTCTCGGCGGTGATCCGGCCCTGGAGTGCTCTCCAGCAGCTGCGTCTCGCTGAGGGCGGCCGCTCACACCGCCTGACCTGCGGGATTGTCCGCCACCCGCCATGCTGGCGTTCGTGCCCTGGTTCTACGTAGTCTCGGTCTTTGCGTGGAACCGCGTACTCTTCATGTCTATATGTGTGTATGTATGTATGTATGTATGTATGTATGTATGTATGTATGTATGTATGTATGTATGTATGTACGTACGTATGTATGTATGTATGTATGTATGGATGGATGGATGGATGGATGGATGGATGGATGGATGCATGTATCTATGCATGTATGCATGTATGCATGTATGCATGTATGCATGTATGTATGTATGTAGGTATGTATGTATGTATGTAGGTAGGTAGGTAGGTAGGTAGGTACGGACGGACGGACGGACGGACGGACGGATGTATGTATGAATGTATGTATGTATGTATGTATGTATGTATGTATGGATGGATGGATGGATGGATGTATGTATGTATGTATGTTTGTGTGTATGTATGTATGTATGTATGTATGTATGTAGGTAGATAGGTAGGTATGTATGTATGTATGTATGTATGTATGTATGTATGTATGTATGTATGTATGTATGTATGTATGTATGTGTGTATGCCTGTATGTTTAGATGTATATGATTATGTATGTATGTATGCATGTATATATCCGTAAGGGCTTCGCCCCATGCCGCCGGCCCCCTGTCTCGGATCATGGGAGATGCAAAAGCTAAATCATTAGGTGTGGGCGCCGCCGTGAAGCAGTGTCGGGACCTGTTTGTTTTTCGACCCTGACCCCACGGATCTGCGTGAGGGGTGCCACCGAATTTCAGAAATGTGGCAAATCCCCTGTGTTTTTCGACCCTGACCCTACGGATCTGCGTGAGGGGTGCCACCGAATTTCAGAAATGTGGCAAATCCCTTGTGTTTTTGGACCCTGACCCTACGGATCTGCGTGAGTGGTGCCGCCGAATTTCAGAAATGTTGCAAATCCCGTGTGCTTTTGGACCCTGACCCCGTCGATCCGCGTGAGGGGTGCCACCGAATTTCCGAAATGTTGGGAATCTCCCGGGTTTTCGGACCCTGACCCCGCCGATCTGCGTGGGGGGTGCCACTGAATTTAAGAAATGTGGCAAATCCCATGTGTTTTTGGACCCTGACCCCGCCGATCTGCGTGAGGGGTGCAACTGAATGTGAGAAATGTGGCAAATCCCTTGTGTTTTTGGACTCTGACCCCGCCGATCTGCGAGAGGGGTGCAACTGAATGTGAGAAATGTTGCAAATCCTTTATGTTTTTGCACCCTGACCCCGCCAATCTGCGTGAGGGGTGCCACTGAATGTCAGAAATGTAGCAAATCCTTTGTGTTTTTGGACCCTGACCCCGCCAATCTGTGTGAGTTGTGCTAGCAAATTTGAGAAATGTGGCGACTCCAATGTGTTTTTTTACCCTGACCCCGCCGATCTGCGTGAGGGGTGCCACCGGATTTCAGAAATGTGGCACATCCCCCATGTTTTTGGACCCTGACCCCGCCGATCTGCGCGAGGGTGTAAATTTTTACCCACCCCAGCAATTCAGACAACACGCTCAGGGCGTAGTAAAAATGCCTGTTTTGGGCCTCCCCCCCTGGCGCGGTCCATCAACAAGGAACAGTAAGCAGCAAGAAGCAGAATTGTAACAGTGGAAACTGGACGCTGCAACTGGTACAGGAAACTGCGAAGCTTCGGCCTACAGCCTGGTGGCCCCACATGGGGGCCAGCGGGTATATACATATATATATATATATGTATGTATATGTGTATATATATATATATAGATATATCAGAGTGAGGGGGTCGAATGGTCATTAATTGTCCCTGGGTGCGTGGATAAAATGAGAATCCGTGGTGAGGATTCTGCTTGTTGCGTTGTTGTTGTTGTTGCTGTTGTTGCTGTTGTCGTCGTCGTCGTCGTCGTCGTCGTCGTTGATGTTGTTGTTGTTGTTGTTGTTGTTGTTGTTGTTGTTGTTGTTGTTGTTGTTGTTGTTGTCAGTGTGGTCGGTGTGTTGTTGTCGTCGTCGTCGTCGTTGTTGTCGTTGTCGTTGTCGTTGTTGTTGTTGTTGTTGTTGTTGTTGCTGTTTGTTGTCATCGTCCCCCCCGCGACCCACCCGCGACCCACCCCGAGACCCACCCGGCGACCCACCTCGCGACCCACCCCGCGACCCACCCGCGCCGCGACCCAATCAGCGACCCACGCGCGACCCACCCCGCGACCCACCCGCGACCCACCCCCCGACCCATCCGCGACCCATCCGCGACCCACCCCGCGACCCCCCCCGCGACCCACCCCGCGACCCCTCCGCGACCCACCCGCGATTCACCCGCGACCCACGTGCGACCCCCCGCGACCCACCCCGCGACCCACTCGCGACCCACCCGCTACCCACCCGCGACCGATCCACATTGTTTTGAAGAAAATAGGCGCCTGCGGCGGTCTCGTTGTATAATGTGTGAAATTTTTTGCGCCTGCGGCGGGCTTCTCCAGAGTCTCGCAGACTGCCGACGTCCCCACCGCCCCTCACTCTTATCCGCATCTGCGGAGTGCTACGTATAAATACGCCCAGCCCCGCCCCAGCACCCCGTCCCCTCAGCGAGCGATCGCTCCCATGATCCTCCTCCTCCTCCTCATCCTGCTCCTGCTCCTCCTACACATCCTTCTCCCTCTCCTGTTCCTCGTCCTCCACCTCCTCCTCCTCCTTATCATCATCATCATCATCATCATCATCATCATCATCATCATCATCATCATCATCATCATCATCATCATCATCCCCTCTTCCTCCTCCTTCTCCTTCTCCTACCCCTCATCCTCCTCCCTCCTCCTTTTCCTCGTCAGACTCCTCATCCTCATTATCCTCTTCTTTTTCCGCCTTAGCCTCTTCGCCGATCGGCTGGGAGGGCATCCGCTTCAGTATGATTGCCAGCCAACGGATTGCAATCCAGCCGATTTCAAACAAGTCTGTTGCAATGCAGTCGATTGCAATCCAATCGGTTGCAATCCAATGGATCGCAAGCCAATCGATTGACAGCCAGCCGATTGCACTCCAATGGGTCTCCACAGCGAGCGATCACTCCGATGATCCGTCTCCTGCTCCTCCTGTTCCTTCTCCGCCTCCTGTTTTTCCTCCTCCTCATCCTTCTCCTCGTCCTCCTTCTCCTCCTCCTCCTCCTCCTCATCCTCCTCCTCCCCCTCCTGCCCCTTCTCCTCCTCCTCCTCCTCCTCCTCCTCCTTTTCCTTGTGCGCCTCCTCATCCTCATCTTCCTTTTTGTCTTCCGCTTCAGCCTAACTGGGTGAAACCGTCTGCAGTTTGCTCTGAATCGAATGTTTGTTTTTTGTTGGCTACTTCTCTCCCCGGCGCTGGCGCCGCAGCACGCCGCGCCAGCTTCATCAAAGAAGGCAGCTAAGACTAAAACCGACAGGTGTCGCGATCGCAAGCGCGTCAAGTCTTTGATGACTTGGGTCGCCAAGCCGTGGGTCAAGCAGTGCCTCAAGGAGGCTGCGCAGTGCACTTGCGGAAATGCCGCGACGCGTGCGCAGCCTTGCGGCGCGAGAAGGCCGCCCTTGCTCAACGGGTCAAGCGCCAGCGCAAGGTCTTGTTCCACATGCGTCGCGACGTCTTCGCGGCCCAGGTGTCGGGATGAATTTCGACGCGCATAACCGCAGCAACGGTACAGGCGAACGACGACGTTGTACCGCCGAGTGCACCGCGCCACCGCCGCGCGGTATTTTGAGCTCGCGAAGAAAACTCGGAGGGGCACCCGTGACGGGCGCTTTGGAGACCAGCAGGCTGGTTGCCGCCGCCAATGCCGAATTCGGTGATGAGGCGACAAAACGAGCGGACTCCGAGAGACCGCCGCTGGGGCCAGATCGAGTGAGGGCGAGATGGGCATCCTGTCTTGGATGTCCCTTCCAGGGGGCCCCGAGACGGCCGACGAGGCCACCGCCCCCCCCCGCAAGACCGCACCGAGACGGCCCGCGAAGCCTCCGAGACCGCTCCGAGACGGCCGGAGAGGCTTCCAAGACGGCCCGGTGGCGGCCCCGGGCAGGAGCAACGCGACGCGGCACGGCAACGCGCGACGTCCAACCGACGAGGAATAGCAACATGCAGCGGCAACGCAACCTTGACGCAGAGCAATGGGTAAACGAGTGCGTTTCTTGTGCGTCAAGGGAACCCATCTTCTAGGATGCCCGCGTCGGTGCGGA